TAGTGTAAAAAAAAAACACGCAAAAACGCCCATAAAAACTGCAAAACACAAAATGTGAAAACGCAAATTTGCATGTATCTCCGCATGGACTCAAGAAACCTTCATGCCAAATTTGGTGAAGATCCATCAACAGGGGGCGAAGTAGTGTAAAAAAAAAACACGCAAAAACGCCCATAAAACCGCAAAACGCAAACTGAAAATTTGTATGTATCCCCACATGGACCTAATGAACCTCCATACCAATTTTGGTAAAGATCCGTCGACATCCTGCGAAGTAGTTATAGACAACATACAGCACTATTATATTTATATAGATTTCTCAAAAAGCGAAAAATCAACACATTAAAAAAAAGATCTGGTGAGTTTTCGTTTTCAGCAGTTAAAGTATGTGATTGAGATAATTCAGTCAGCTATGTACTAGTTAAGTATTTAAATCTTTAAAAAAAAAGTGAAATGAGCAATTGATAGAAGATAATTTATTGTTTGATGGTGAAAGCAGCAGCAAACATACATACATATATGTAATATGAACTCAGAAAACATTTAATAATTTGCTATTGGTTGTTTTAGACATTAATGAATGTTTGGAGCCGAACTCTTGTGGAAAAGGAGCCCAATGTCAAAATAATCCAGGAAGCTATGATTGTCGATGCCCACAAGGTTTTAGTGGTGATCCTTATCAATCATGTCAGGGTAAGTTACATGAATTTCTGTATAATTTACTGTTCTTGCAAAATAAACCTTTCATTTATTTTTTCTTCAACATTTTAAATTGAAAATTGAGTTACCATGAGTTTATCTAATGACGTAAATGAGAGAATATTGAAACAACCAATAAAAAGAAGGTAGAATTGCACATTATTTCATGAATAATATCATTATTAATAGCAATCCAATTCATGCTGTACCGTGAATTATCAAGCAGTTTGCTAATATAAATAGCATCTCAAGCACTAATATTTCTGTCTTGTAGTTGTACCAGCCGGCCTAAGAAAAAAACTAAAGAGCTCTGGTATTGGGTAAAGGCCTCATTAGCATTAGATATAGCAGATGTAGTGTGGTTGACATAATATTTTATATAGTCTTCTTTCATTTTGAATAAAAAGCCTCCCGGACAACATTCTCTCATGATTAAGAAAATGGTGGCAATGAACATATGGAATGAAATGATAAAAAAAATGGTTTTATTATTATTTTACATCGAATTAAAAGTTGTGAGGCATTAAAAATGTCCCGATCCCAACACTCCTTAAATAACATAAATTAATAGTTAAATCCAACCCCGATAACCCAAATATTCATCAACACATTAATTCTTCTAAAACTGCAGTCTTTATCACTTTAGATAGAAGTTTATTCAACAGATTTACCTCCTTATTGAAGAAAAAACAACAACTGTCAACTGAAGATCTACCTGACCTTTTTTAATTCTTAAATTTATGATCTCTTGTTCTACTGCTCTTAGAATTCAGCTAAAAAGTAGGATTCGTCAATCTTGTCAATTTCCTTATTGATTGTTAATACTTAAAGTAAATTAACCCTGACCCTTTTTTTTCCAAAAGAAATGTGTTAAATTAAGAGATCTTGGACTTTTCTCATATGTCAATTCATCAATCTCTGAAATCATTCTAATAGCCCTCTTTTTAACTGATCATTAGAAGTTTTTAACATTTGCCAGCCTTATAACTTAACTGTTACATGATGCCACTTCTTATACAAGTTTCGTTCACATGTATTATTATTTTCTATTTTGTGTTATTTACATTAATGTAAAATAAGTTTTGATACTATGATAAAGACACGAAACATATAAAAAAAAAATTGAAAATTTTTGCAGTGAGTAATGTTACTTCATTTAATACATATTATATATACATATACATAAGACATTTTTTCACAATGTTACACATGATCCAATCATCAATACATATGCTGTTAAGGGTATTTTGTTACTGCTTTGATACAGAGTGCTAGTATAAGAGTTTGTAAGTGGAAATTATATATTTTTATTTTATATTAATGTATAAGACAAATAACTGCATGCATTGTTAAAGTCAGTTTTTGTTATCACTTTTTGAACAGATGTATAGGTTTTATGGCAAGTAAATCTTGTGTTCTTTTTTTTTTCGTTTGTTTAATGTGTTTATATAATGTGTACTTATAGATGTGGATGAGTGTGTACACAATCCATGTGGCTCAGGAGCCATCTGTACCAACTTGATTGGAGGCTATCAGTGTTCTTGTCCTCCTGGTTACAGTGGAGACCCTACTCCTAGTGCTGGTTGTGTTGATGTAGATGAATGTCTGGACCCAGACTTTCATTGTGGTCAGCTTGCTGGATGTATCAATACTCCAGGAAGTTATTATTGCCAGTGTTCACCAGGTTACACTGGGGACCCAAGAGTTCATTGTCTAGGTGAGATATTTTGTACTTATGTAGCAAAATTGTGCAGGTAATATTGATTTAACAGTGATCATATCTTTTTGAATGTATTATAAATTTATGAGAGAGCTGTGGCAATCTTAACAATAGAAATATATATATAGTATTTATAAAACTTTAAGATAGCGTATACCCTTTACCTAGTGTTATCTAGGTTTTGGCCTTTTTATCAGAATAAAATATCTTCATACTATGCTTTTTTGCATGAAAATATATTGAAATAGATACAAATACATATTCTGGCACATGTTGTATAACATTACCACTGTGGCTAATTTGCACATTATATGTAGTGGTAATGGTAGCTTTTGCTCTTGTATTTTGGTTTGAAGATGATATACTAAGTATTTGTATATTCAAAATTCTCTATTTTTACTAATCATTATTTATTGTTTTTTTGCTACAATATTGTCTGGAATGAAGTAAGATTCTTAATGACCCACCTGATTGTGAAAGGTTAATTTAGAGATAAACCTTGTCCTCTTCTAATTCACAAGTCTCCATAAGCAACTAAATTCACCTAGGCAATTAGCCAGAAGGATCCCTTGAAAACCCATTCAGTGGCATATATGTATGTATATTGTGTGTATGTAATGTATTTTAGCATACTAAATAATATAATTTTTTCTTCTTATTCAAACAGACATTAATGAGTGTCCATATTCTTGTGGTGTTAATACTGACTGCATTAACAACCCAGGAAGTTACGAGTGTCAGTGTAAACCAGGGTATATTGGTGATCCATATGCATCCATAGGCTGTAAAGGTAACTTTGTTACTTGAATATGGAAAAATCTCATAAAATATTGAAGTTTCATATTTATGTAAGCTTAGTGTTTAAGCAAATCTCAAATTCAGTATTTAGAAAAGTATGAGTATTTAAAAAGAGTATATTTATGGTAGCATTTAGATTTGGATCAGAATAAATATGAAAGTGTTTAAAATGTTTAAAACATTTTATATTAGCTGTAAAAAAGTTTTATCTGAGCAGAAGGTGTTTAATAGCTTATGAATCTGATAACATCCATTATGCCTTTTTGGAAAATGGAATAGGTCAAGATTCTAGTTGGCATTGTTCAAATAATTTAGAATAGAATATTTGGGGAAAATATCCAGCTTTTAAATTAGAAGCTGTTTTTAATTTTGATAGATTATTATGGAACGGATGTGTATATTTGTTGATAATGCTATGGTAGTGTGAGTTGTTATAAAGTTTCTTTATAGTAAATTATAAGGGGTTAACCCTCTAGCCAGGTGATACAGTCCTTCTAAGTTGTATGGCATGTAGAAGGTCTGGGGTTTGGCTTTGAACTGAAGAAGTACAAAAAATTCATTTACCTTGAAAAAATTGGCACTCAATTTAGGGCCATCCTTTGACTCTGAGATGAGGCTCAAGAATAGGTCTTGTATGTTAGAGGGGAAATATGGTAGTCTGAGTTGTTAAAAAGTGTCTTACTAGCAAATGCTAGTGGTTTAACTTTTAGCTCAGTTGTTAGAGCACTTGCCTAACATGTGGAAGTTTTCAGGTTGTACCCTGAGCTGAGAAAATACAAAAATCCTAAATTACTACAACGCATTAGTAAATGACTGTGTAGAAAATAATCTAATATATTAAATCAAGGTAACCAAATTTAAGAAAAACTAAAGAATTATGGGATAATCTTTGTGTAAAATGTGGTCTGTAGAAGTTCTTTCCAAGATTCCTGCTTAGTATATTTCTTATAGCTTAGTTTCTCATTATGATGGACAAATTACTTAATATGCTTTTTTTCCATTTTACAAAAACGATTGTTCAACTAAAATTAAATTCTTAATAAGATCATTTCATAACGTGGCATAAAAAAGTAGCGTACTTATACAAAAAGAACATTAAATTATGTGCTGTAAATTTTCTCTTATTGTACATCTGCTTAAAATTACTTTCCGGCACTACTTGGAATAGTAAATACAATATTTTGTAATTAAAAATAAACAAAGAACATGTGTCAGTTTAAATTGTGATATTTCAGATAAAGATGAGTGCAGCAATCCTAACGCATGTGGAAAAAATGCTGAATGCACCAACCTGCTTGGTTCCTATGAATGTAGCTGTTCGTTGGGTTACTCAGGCAATCCACACATGGTTTGTCTTGGTAAGATAAGTTTTAATTTTTCTTTTTACTAAATGTATGAATTTTGATAAAAAATGAGTGGTCTCTTAGGTACCTGAACTGTAGTTTAGGGGTGTGATGTTTATAATCCTGTTTACTCACAAGTAGCCTATTTAATCCATCCATACTACGCAAAAGATTGTAAGTTGCTGTGTCACTAAACTTGTGCATTTTGATAAGGAAGAAACATAAAGACCAACCTGTTCTTGAATTTACTTCATTATCGACTGAGTTTGGATGGTTTTTGGGTATCCTACCATTCATCAATAAAATAGAATTATATATCTAAGGAAAGGTTGTTACTGGTTTTGATATTTAGCTAAACTTTATACTTGAGCTGTGGTATACTAATCACGGCATTGTTTTTTTTTATTTCTATTGTTCATGTTTATGTCAATTATTATGCAAATAGTTTATTTTTTTTGTATTTAAAATGTTTATTTCTAATTCTAACAATAAATCACTTTGATATTGTTCAGTTTTTGTCATTTTTAATGGAAAAAACCTATTATAAATAGTTATTGTTGGAATTTTGTGTTTCCTTAATGTTATGCTGTTATTTTCACAAATACCTTGTTCATATGTGTACTAGTTTATATTCACCTCGGTATTTTTTATAAACTTTGTACATGTCGTTTAACAGCCTTAAGGTGACTTCAAGAGAAGAGTTGAAAGCTTGCTTTAAAAATAATGAAGATGTAGATTAAAACCCAGTTGTTATTTTTATAATTAACATACTTCATAATGTTTTTCTGACTGTAATTAACTTATCACCTATAACTCAGATGTATAATCAACATGCTGTCATGTGTATAATGCTCCTGGGAATCATGTGTTGTATATCCTTCAAATAATATATGTTATTAGAAGCTGCTAATGTCACTCCTCTTTTCAAGGGAGGTAATAAGAATTGTCCCAGTAATTATAGGTCTATTAGTCTTACATCAGTTGTGGGAAGAGTTTTGGAAAATCTGATACAAGATGCTCTGCAAAGCCATTTAACAAAGTTTAGAACTTTATTAGAT